TCCTAGGTGTGGTCTATAAACCCATTAGTAAAATATCATCAGTTTCACTCACGATTGCAGACAATGAGCTGCAGTGAGAATCCAGCTTGGGCTGATGATGGCACCTCCACACTGGTGACTGCCTAGAAACCTCAAACCCACCTGCCATGGCCAACAGTGGGGACAGGCTTCTTCTCCTCCTGCAATTCTTCTGGAAAGCCACTGGGGACTAAATGGAGGGATGCCACAGACACCTACAGCAAAGAAGATGAAACTAATGACCTACCTATACAACTGAAATCATGGAGAACACCCTTCTCCCCTAATGGCTTGGCATAGCAGACAAATCGTAATTCCCAAACATCAGATGAGCTTTATAAAAATATAGATTCCCAAGACCCACCTCTGGGGAATCTTATTTTAAAAGATTGCCCAGATGACTCTGCTAAGCAATTATATGGGAATTTATGTTATATGGAACTTATATTCCAGTAGGAAAAATTGGTTAGCAGAGCATACAAGGTTGTTCATTATATGTCCTTGTTTGATTTCTTTCTCACTGTATGAAATTATTTACAAATCCTCAAACATGCCAAATTCGCTCAGAAATCCAAATTGTTCTCTTGTCTGGAATACTGCTAGGACTCAGCTCAGGTCTATCTTCTCCATGAAGCCTTCTCTGGCTCCCATGTATAAGAAGCAGATTTTTTTCAACTCTTCAAGATCCCTGTACAACTTTCTATTGTATTACAACCCATCCACCAGAGCATATTTAGTACATACACACAGAGCAATGAAAGATCATAATATTTAACCAAATACTTCAGATTGTAAATAAGTTAAAAGTTGCCAGTGTGTGTTAAAAGACAAAAATAAAAAACCTTTTTTCACCCTTTGCCCCAAATACATAATCATACTAAATACAGAGTCTAGAAAGATATTTTAAATATTAAGTTTGCCAGGAATAGATGAAGAGAAAGGATTGCCTTCTGTACCCCTTTCTATCATACAGCTTATTTCTTCTTCCCTCTACTTATGGGTTTATATGCAAATCCAAACAAGATTCTGGAAGTTTCATGGTCCTAGTTATAAAACTAATTATTCTTCACTGTGGAGTTATATCAATGTCAGATGAGACTTTCAAAACAGACACCTAACGAAGAAGGGAGATTAAATAAATAGCAACCACATGGCCATCAACTCACCAGAGGGAACAGCTTTTGCAGAAGATACAGGTTTAGTTTTGGGAGGTGATGTGGATCCAATTTTGTTTAAAGAGTCTACGGATAAAAATTTCCATTGAAGATAATTTAGAGTAGCCTACACTAGCTGACCCTACTTGCTTTACCTGGTCAATCAGAAAACCACGCTAATGTTGATCTCACTAGCACTACCTTTAAAATGCTAAATGCCAGATCCCATGGATATGATTTGTTGTATATCTCTTAATATCCCTATTGTATCTGACCCCTTCAGGCATTCCTTCCTTTCTTGGCTCCATGAAATTACTCTTAGTTCTCTTGCTGTATCTAAGGATAACTCTTCTCAATCTCAGTCTTTTCTTCAGGATCCTATTCTTTAGCCTGAAAGATATTCCACAAGGTACTGCTTATAACCCCATTTTTATTCATTGACATATATATGACTTCCAAATTTGTCTCCTCAATCTCAATCTCTTTCCTTCCTGAATTCTAAGATCTAGCATTGCTAGATATCTCCATCTAGATCTTCAACAAGTTGATACAAAAAAAAAATCCACATGTTTCAAGGGGAACCAATGGATTTTAACAGTCAATATGATGTTATTATGTTTCTCTGTATCCTTTAGTGGCTCCACTATCCATCTAGCCACACAAGCTAGAATTCTGAGTATCATGCTAGACCTTTTCTCCTTCATATGCCCCTCCCCCACAACATACCTAATGAAGCAATATATCTAGAATAAATTCTTACAATGACTTCCTCACTGCTCTCCTTGCATGTAGTTCACCCCTAACCTCCCTGTCCAGCTTCCATATTACCACCAAGACTGGAATTCTGGCTCTACAGTTCTTTGCCAGCTATGCATCCTTGGGAAAGTTACCTCTCTAAGCCTCTGTCCCTCACTTGTGAAATGCAGAGCTGTGTACAAACCACTTAGCTTTTTAAGGAGGATTAAATGTGACAATGCACATGAAATTCTTAGACTATACCGGGTACAGAACAAGCCAATAAATGTTAGCTAGCTATTCTATCACCCTGATACTTAACATTTAATGCCCATATTCATCTGTCTCTTGCCTCTTCCATCATTCCCCCAAAAGTCAAACAATGTTGAATTATTTGTAGTTTTTGTACATCATTCATTCTCTTTCACACTGGGATTTTGGTAGATGATATTCCCTTTGACTGGGTAGAGGCTATTTTATCTCCTAGAATGCCTAGAAGCCCATTAACACTAGTCTTTCAAAACCTTCAAACATCCCAAAACAGAGCCAGTCAATCTCATTTCTGAATTACATTCTCTGATCTGAATTATCTACTTTTAACAGAAGGTGCTCAGGATATTTTTTGACCATCTAGTACATGTAGTTTCTTGGCTTTACCTGAGGAGCTTGTTAAAGCACAGATTCTTGGGCCCCACCCCAGATCTACAGAATTCAAATCTTTGGGGGTGGGCCCAGGAATCCGCATTTTTATTTTGCCACTGAAGTGATTCAAGCACTCTAAATTTAGGTAAAAATGGTTATATTATCCTCCCCAGAACTGTTTTCATGAGCAAAAATCACTATTGCACAAGTGTTTATACTGACCTGAGGGCAAAAAGGTAAATCTAGCCTTGAAGCCTCGGAAGTTATTTTCACCATCACTTTTGAAATGAATCACCATCACATTATCAGGACTGAATATTGGAGCGGGATTGAACATTCCACAAAGTTTTGCTGTAAAAGTTTTAGGAAAGTGTGACTTATAGTTATAAAAATGTTTTAAAATCAGAAAACAGAGGTAATACATCAGCTGATTAATTATTTTCCAGCAACTTTGTTTTTCTTTAGCTTTGGTTTGTAGGCACACCCTTTTACTTCATGTGGGAATGAAACACTAGCTTCAAGATAATAATGTATTACAATTTTTCACAGGAAAAAAAAACGATGGATAGGGTAAAGACATCTGATTTTTAGTATGCATAGAAACCTCAATGGATTGGTACCTTGTAGACAATAAAAAGAGGCAAGTTACAGTAAATCCCAAAGTTAGTACTCCTTCCAAACAGAACATGGTTACACCATATGTGAATAGGGAACTCTGAAATCTGCTTGGCCTAAACCCCTCTCTCTACCAGGTCCCGTTTTGCTAGATACGAGGAGGACTGTGCTTCCACTCACCTGCCCTAAATATACAAATAAACATTCTGAACCTATCTACATTCCTGGTCTCCAACCCACACTAACACCCAGCTAAAAGACAAATAGTAGGTGTTAAGAAAGTGGCTACATGGCTGCAAGGGATCATTTTTTATACTTAGTAAATTGATAGGTCCAAATTTGAAAGCACATTTGAAGTTTCAGTTCAAAATATTAACTTTTAAGACTCCCATTAGAAATTATAGCTTTTGGTTACGCTTTTTGCTTGTTACTTTTCTTGGGCATAAAAGTAACAATATCATCAATGGAAGGGATTAACACAGAAAAGAAGGAAGTTTAAAAATTTACTTTAAACAACTGCCCAAAATGTACTCACTGTCACCATTTTCCTTTTTTCCCTGGGATTTCCTTTTCACCTTCTAAATATTCTGAAAAATTCTTCCAATTTTGCATATTTCTACCCAAAACATTGCTGGCCGATGGGTTTTAAAGCTGAAGTTTTATGGCATCGTGAGTTTCCAGTGTAAGAAATTCATATTCCCACTTTACCTCTGGGAACCCAAGGAATCCAGCCAGTGATGCAACTACTCCGGTTAGTCCCATGCTTTTCAGATTAAGCTTAAAGGACAGAAATGTGACCCACCTAATTCATGTGCCTCTTCGGAGTCACCATAAATCACAACAGCATCATCAATACAGCTTTGGTTAAATTCCGTAGTGAAGTCCTCAAATGCCAACTGTACAAACCAGAGGAGTGGTCGAGGAAGAGAAGAGATAAACTTTAAAAGTTTCCCTCTATAATTAAAAGGCTCTCAGTAACTCCCTCATAGTCCATTGGCAGAAGTGTAAATAATTGCAGCCTCTTTGGGGGCAATTTGGCAACTGACTATGAGGTTTAAATGCATAAACCCTTTGACCCAGCAAGTCCACTTCTGGTAATTGTATTCATCCATGTGTGTCCAAAAGCAGTGACACAGGAATGCACCAGCATTGCTGATATGGGCAGACTGGAAACTCACCAAATGTCTGTTAATAGAAAACGGGTTTCAGAAATTATGGGACATCACACAATATAGTTTTGTGTAGTAGTTCAAAAGAGCTCTTGTGGACTCATCTGGAAAAATCTTTGAGATGTTTTTAAGTAGGACAAGCACTGCCATACAATATAAATGTATACTCACACATCTTTGTCAATGCTCAGAATCTCTCTCGAGGGATGATCTAGAAACTTATCAGTGTTTGTCACTAGGAGGTAGGATAGGAGTTGGATGAGAAGCAAGCATGCTTTTAATGGTGTTCTCTTTTAAACTGCTGAATCTTTTCAAACCACATACATAGATTCCCTTTAAGATTCAAAAAATAAGGCCAATAGAAGTTCCTAGTCATGATGGCAATTTCACAGTCCAGGTGAAGTAAGTTCTACCTCACTAACAGCTAAGTTCTCAATGAAGTAATGAGATTCCTTTGTTGCCTACCTTTATAATGTGTTTCTCGGGAGCATGAATGAGCCAATGACACCTTACATTCCTGGGAGAAGAGTCAGGGTAACTGGCAGAGGAAATCGTCCCTTCTTCCACCAACACAGCCACACTCCCACAACCTGAACCTATGGAAGTTTTGGGGAAATCCAAAGTGGATGACCAAAGGCATTCTCTTCTTCTTCCCCCCCCCCCCCATATCAAAGAAAACCAGCATGGAATTAATATATCTAAAATACCTGCTTCTGAGTTCTTCTGTACGGCAGTAAAGGTAAGCTCAAAGCCACTGCCACTCTTTTCTGTACCAGAGACAAATGTAACTGTTGCCTCATTGGTCTCTGTCAGCAATGGTGAGGGCACTAGATCTCCACAGAGCTCACCTCAAAAGAAAAATAAATTGGAATAAGGTTACTAAACAATGATGGAAGTAAACTGATATGTTTGTTTTCCTAATATTGTCTTCCACGAATTCTGCTCTAAACACCCCAACCTATTTAGTGGCCCCTTTAATCATTCCACACTTTCTGCTTGCATGACTTTACATTCCATTCCCCTTCTCATACCCAATCTCTGATGTCCAAATTCTACTCATCCTTCAGGGCCTAACTCAATGTCCAGTTCTCCCATACATTTTCTCAGATACCCAACAGAAATAAGAGCTACCTTTTCTGAACTGCCATAGCACGTTTCCTATTCTACGCCATTTCCTACTTTGTGGTACACCTTTAGTTACCTCAGCAAACTGCACACTCATTAAAGCACAGACTGCTTTTACTCTAAATATGTCCAGGACCTGATATGTTATCTGGTGTATAGTTGACTTTTAACAAATGATTGGTTGAAGTAATGATTATTGGGTAAGTAGCAGGCTTGAAGCATGAAATCATTTAGTCAATAAATAATATAACCCTTAGCACAATATTTTGTCTATAACATCCTGTCAAACATTTGTGAACAGGGATTTGTCCTAACCACTGGCCTTTTAGAGACCTGGAGACTAAGGTCTATCCCGGTTCTAGAGACTTTCTACCAAGCTTAGCACATAATATTTCAAATAAATACATATATCAGTATGCATATATAGCTTATGAGGTATTCAGTAAAAAGAAATTTAATGACATAAAATAATCTATTGTGTCATGAGAAGAAAAGAGACATTATAATACAATGTGTAATAAAGTTCAATATAGTTAGTATGTATAAATAAATATACACCAAAATGTTAACAGCGCCTATCTTTAGGTGGTAGGGCTATGATTGGTTTACATTTTCTTGTGTTCACTCATCTGTCTTTACCAAATTTGGCTAACGTGCACTTGCTTTTGTGGCAAAAATAAAAAATAAAATAAACATTGCTTTGAAAAGAAGTTTTCTGACAATTGCGAAATCAATTTTGTTCAATACTGTTAGTAAACTTGAGAAAGGAATAAAGAAAGCTCAGTCAATATGCTGGTCATTGGTCCTACTTGTACTGCACACACCCCCTCAACTTCAAAAAGGGCACAGTATCTAAGATTAAATAATCGCCCTTCTGTAGAAATCTAATTTCAGATCCTTCAGCACCTTTTTGGCCTCTTAGGAACTACCAAATGACAAATTAAAATAAATCTAACATACTTACTAACAAGCACTCCATTGCTTGATTGCAAAGATACATAGTCATGGTCACCTCCAACTTGATTTTCTATGTCTAAGTTTGTAAATTCCACCAGGATAATTTTATCTTCTGGGGCCATTATTTTCCAAACACATAAGCTAGGCAGGGGAAGGTGGACAGTGTATAATAAATGGCAGAGTCAAGTGTGACATATAAGATCTATTATCTAGGTTTTAGCTAGTAACTCACCAATAATATTTTATAGGATATTAGAAGATAAAAAGCAGTGGAAATTCCTTATGTGAGAATAAGTTGTTTATGCTTGAATTTCTGACATCTCACCAATAGAAGAGTAATTTATTAGAGAACGGCCAGAAACCACCTTTAAATTTTCATTTAGGTATAAAATGCTACAATTATGATCTATGTATATTGAAAAAAATACCTGATTCATCTCTCTAAGTCTAATTGAAAACTCATAATATTCACCCAGAAGTTGAATTATGGATTATAAATTGTGGGCTGATCATGCAGCATGTTAACGCTAACCAGCCACATCCTCCAAGGTCATCCTAAGTCACAGCCCCTGTGGTTGCAATGTCATTCCTCTAGCTCCCAGTAAGGTCAGCTGGGTGACCTTTCGCTAACATCTTTAGAAACATGTCTAAACATTTTGAAAGTAGTCTTACATAATTTAACACATAATCCTTTACACATTTATTTTCCGACATGAATTCATATTATTATTCAAGTTAAGAAACCTCAGTGGGCCATAAATCGTTAGCATCTCCCATGTCTCACATTCATGAGTGCAGAGCAATCTCATCTTGAATCTGTCAGAATGAACTTCTTTCTAAAACTCGGTACTCTTTATCAACAACCTTAGACCTGTTCACAGTCCCACTGACCTCTGAGCAGGAAATGTTCAGGGTTGTAGCCATCACCCAACTCTTTCATACCCAGTTTCCAAAAACCAAATGCAACAATTCATCTTACTATACATCTCCTCCTTAATCAGAAACTGTCTAGCATACCCTTGCTTTATTCTTTTTCTATTCAAGTCTATCATCCTGAACATAGATGTAAAAATAGGCTGCCTAAAATATTATTAAAATCACTTTTAAGCACTTCAATTTAAAAAGCAATAAGCTACCTAAAATATTATAAAGCTCGGTTTTTTAAGCACTCCAATTGGAAAAGCACCCCACATCTATCATCCTGCCTGAGACTCATTACGCCCCTCTGAAGCAGGCAGGAGAGAAATTGCTCCCCTTCTCCAAATGGGAAAACTGGCATTGATATTAAGGGACTCATCACATCTCATATAATAGGAAATACAGTTTGGGCTTTATGATTTCAAAGGCCAGTACTTTCTCCTGTTTTCATCAAATTATTTTCTGCCTCAAAATCGCGAACTCAAAGATGGAAAACAGATTGCAAATTATATGCCAACTTTGATTTATTGTTAGTGATTGCTATATTAAAAAAGGATTCTGAGGTCTAGACAAGCTAAGTGACAGGCAGGAGACAAAATTAATTATCAATTTATTCATTCAAGTATCTACTGAGTATTAATTATATGCCAGGTACTCTTCCCAGTTCTAAGAAATGCAGTGCCTCCCATGGGCATGAAAGGAAAGAGACCACCTGAGTGCCATGTATCTGCCACTTCTGAGAGCCTAGCTACCACCTGCCAGAATAAAGATGGACTTGGAGGGACTGTATGAGACCCTGCTCCTCTTCTCATTATCTCTCTCCCTTTCCATTAGCTGATTTGACTCTATTAGGCATTTATAAAAGCCTTCCGCCATTCAAGGCTGCTTTAGCATGCTGGAGAAGTCACTAAGTATGCAGACTGGCTCCATGCCTGATTACATTTCTAAAACACATGTCTCTTCACATTTGAACATTCTAAAATCAAAAGGATCTGACGTTGTAGTCTTATAATTATGTTAGACTTGAATTGAAAGAATTTTTCCAGAAAGGGACTTGTATTAGCTTTAACCAGTCACCTGGGGGCACTCTCAACTGCAAACTAAAATTTTCTGCTTGAGGTAGTTTGGTCTATACTGGTGAAAAGGATTTTACACTATAGGCCTGCAGGAGTGTTAGCATGTGATTTAAATTCTCGGGTAAGATTTTTACTACTCCCTACATCCAGTGCCAAAGATAGGTACGGAACTTCCCATGTGGATGGGTTTATGCCTCGGTTAGCCGAACATAGGAGGCCTGTGTTGTCCCAGCCTTACATGAAGGTCTCCCAATCTTGTGTATTTTGTTTTCTTAATTGGTGGTACTTAAAATAATGATAAACTTTACAAGCAGTGTGTTTTAGACTTGTTGAAATAGAGTACAAATTCATGCCAATACTAAAGAGGTTGTAATGTTGCTGAGTTGTCATTCTGTCTAGTTGACATCTTACTTTAGTCCCGACAAGCAATTTAATGTCTTAACTATTTACTCTCAACTTTATCTCCTAAACTTGAAGCAATTAAAACCTTACAGTTACTAAGATGACATCAAGTGTCAATTCCTTCAACTTGCCTATAGATTACCTTAACATTTTTTTGTTGTTTTCCCAGAAAATAAGTCTTTCTTTCCAAAGCTAAACATTCTTTGTTATATTCTCATGAAACTTTCTTCACATATATATGTATTTCTGTTGACTTATAACTCTTATCCTCTCTCTGCCCATAAGGACAGCTAAGCCTACTCTTCCAAAACAAACCCAAACAAACAAACAAACAAACAAACAAACAAACAAACAATAACAACAAAAAAATCCCTGCTTCTTTTGACCCTACTGCCCTCTTACCTAAAAGCCACTGCTGCATCTCCCTCTTTATCTTCACTGCTTAACTGTTTACCTCATCTCAAACAATGGCAGCTCCATCCTTCTCATAAATAAAACACCCTCAAGTCATCATAAGGCTCTCTCTCTCTCTTAAAATTCAAAGTTTTAACTCATTAGCAAATCCTGTGGTCCTACGACTTCGACTTCTCACTACCAACCAGGTCAAAGCCAGCATCATCCTTACCTGGATTATTGTAGCAGCTGGTCTCTCAGCTCTTGGTCTCACCTTCTACATCTAGTTTCAATCCAACAGCCAAAGTGCCTTTTAAATGTATCAGGTCATATTCCTCCTCTGCTCAAAGTCCTCCAATGGCTGCCACCACTAATTACAACCACTTCTCCCCTTGTGCATTTAGCTCAAGCTCTCTGATCTTGCTGTGCCCCAAATATACCAAGAGTTTTCCTGCCTCATGCATGCCATTCCTTCTGCCTGGAATGTCCCTTCCCAAGATGATCATATGATTCCCTCTTTTCATCTAATCCAAGTCTTTGTTCAACTATCATCTTTATAGTGCAGTCTTCACTGACCACCCTCTATTTTTCTGCATAACACTTCCCACCTTCTACTATTATATGTAATGTTATTTATATGATCCCTCCTCTCTCCACCTTCCAACTTGCCCCACAAAGGAAAACACTTTTGTCTGTTTCATTCATGCTGTATTAGTAGCACCTAAAATAGTGCTACACATCTTAAGGCTTCAGTAAAAAAATTTTATTATTAGTTAGTGACGGAGAGATACCAGGTCTTAAACAATCACTTAACTCATTATGAATATAGATTCTGAGTCTACAAATATACTGAATCAGCTCCCAAATTTTGAATTGCCATATCCAGTGTATTTTATCTGAACTCATTTTGACTTTTGCAATATGTGATGGTAGTAACTACCCGCTTTGTTTGGAAAGTCATTATTGCAGATTTCTTCAATTCTTCATTGTTGAAGCTGAATCATAGGTGCTTTGTGTTTGAGGGTAAATGGACTGTCATCTGCATGTCTCTTACCTAATATATAAATGCTTTCGCTAATCTCACCCATAGCCACCTATAGCTCAAATACCCACCTGTAAGGAAATTCATTATATCCTGAGGCAGGCTCAGAAATCTCTCAAATTGGAAACTATGCTAGATTGAAATCTGCCTCCTGCTAACATCTACCTTCTGCTCCTTGCTCTTGGTTCTGTAATTAATCAGAATAAGTCCAGTTCTGCTTTCCTAATAGCCTTTCACATAAATCAAGATAGTTCCTTCCTCCTCTCGAGTTTTCTTTGAACCAAAAATATTCCTACTTCCTTCCACCATATCTCCCAAGACACTGTTTTGAATTTCTTTCCATCTTGACCATTGTCTTTCAAGTAATTTCCAGCTTACCAATGTCCCTTTCTAAAGGTTGTACCGGGGGACCTCCTCTTTACTCCTCCCATCCAGGACTCTAATAGAACAGCACTGTTACTCTTGTCCTGGATGATATTCTTCTAAAAGTTTAAGCAAAGATGGCAAAGGCTTTACGGGTATTATATTATTACTAGGTTGACTCACAGAAAGTCAACTTAGACTCTTGAGCCTTTTAAATACGGGTTGCAATTAAGCTACTTCATTTCTATCCCATAGTTGTAACACATAGTTACATACATTTTACATTCATTTTATAAATTACAATCTCACCACCATTTTAGCTCCTCACTACCTATGGCCTGAAGTCTGAGCTTCTTCTCATGGAATTCAAGGTCCTCTATAATTAAGGCCTCACCATCCTTTTCACTTTCATTGCCCACTGCTACCCCAGTTTCCATTTCCATTAACATTGCTCCCCAGCTGCACCGGGATATGCATTGTCCAAACAACCCCGATTTCTTCACTTCCCTGACATTGATTAAACATAATTCACTCTGCCTGGAATGATCTGTAGAAATCTCTAAGATATTAGCGCTACAAAAGACTTCATGAGCTATAAAATCATAACTATCCTTCAGGGGCCAGTCGAGTGGTTCAGTTGGTTAAGAGGGTGAGCTCTGAGCAACAGTGTCGCTGGTTCAATTCCCACATGGGCCAGTGAGCTGTGTCCGAGCTGAGCTGCCACTGAGCTGCCAACAGGAAGCAGGATGGCTCAGCTGCTGAGAGCATGTGCTCCTAATGACAAGGCTGCCAGTTCCACTCCTCATGGGATGGTGGGCTATGCCCACCCACAACTATGATTGAACATGGCACCTTGAGCTGAGCTGCCCTGAGCTGCTCTTGGGCGGCCGGACGGCAACTGGACTGGGAGCTGAGCTAGCTGTGCCCTCCACAACTAAGACTGAAGGACAACTTGGCTGTTCCCCTTCCCCAATTCCCCAATAAAAATCTTTTAAAAAATATCTATCCTTCAATGCCTAGTTTCAATACCACCCCCTACACTAAAGCATTCTGACCCCTACCTCTTCCAACCACAGTACACACACACACAGTTCACAAATTGCTGCAATGAGAATTAGTCTTTCCATTTTCCATAGGCCCAACGCCCATGGGTAGGGTGGATGCTAAAGCTTTTTTATCTTGTTTTATAGTCGTTATTTTTGTCCAGCTCACTCCTCCTACCAGGTGATAAACTCATAGAACTCCCATCTACCTTTGAATACCTTTCAATGCTCAGTACAATTTTAAAAAGCAATGTAAAATACTTAAGAAAATAAGATACTTGCAAAACTAGTTTCTAAAGTTTAAAAAATATCTTTAGCCATATGGAGGGCAGGGTATGTCAAAAAAATATTTAAAGATACTGAAGCTTATAGATGAAATAGTTTCCATCTTCTAGGCAACACTTAACAAAATATTACCATTATTACAGAAATAAGTAGAAGAGGATTAACTACTACATTCCCATAGCAATATCACTACCAGGTGCTGTTAATATTAGATATTTGAATGCATCATTTCATGTAAGCACCAGTCTTAATATCGTTTGTGTTGATAATTTGTATTAATGGGTATCAGAAACACCAATTAGCAAATATTTGCCAACCATAAAATATCAGATCAAATATATAGACTTTAGGCAAATCAGATAAAGAAATTGAGATACTAGATGAAATTGCAAAAACATAGCCCCTTAAATGGCATGATCTTGGGGGGAAAACCCAAGAATCACTCCTACCTGGGATACATACCAATTACGAGAATAGCTGCCCTCTTTTGAATGGGGGTAACGAATCTTCCCTTTTTCTCCAAATAACACTGTTCCCTGAAGTCCACAAGCTCCAAAAACTTAGGAACAAAGTTGATTATTTACCTCAGCTATGGACAGTATTTCAAGACATATGGTACAGAGTCAGCCTGACGTTGTACAATTTATACTATATAACTTACATTTATGGGAGTGAATATGTTTTTAGGGGCTATGACCTAGACATTGTATTTGCAGACTTCATTAGAAAAATTTCTAAATCATGTTTTGTTTTGTTTTTTAGAATATAATATTGGGTTGTCGGAAAAGTCATGATGTATTTTTTGTTTTTCATTGCAAAAATGCATCATGACTTTTCCGACAACCCAATAGTTTCATTAACCACCTGACATACTTCTTCAATAGGTTTTTCCTACATTTCTTATTGTTAATATACATGTCATATATATATATGATATATATATACACACATATACATATATATTGACATATATGTCAATAATGTTATAGGACATATAACATATTAGTTTTAGACATCACCATAATGATTCAATATTTATATATATTGCAAAATGATCAAAATAAGTATAGTTAACATACATCACTACACAGTTATAAAAATTTTTTCTATGTGATTTTTAAGATCTACTCTCTTAGCAACTTTGAAATACGCAGTACAGTATTATTAACTATATCCTCCATCTCTGGCAACCACTGATCTATTCTCTGTATCTATGAGGTTTTCTTTTTAATTCTACATACAAGTGCACTCATATGATATTTATCTTTCTCTGACTTACTTCATTCAGCATAATGCCCTCAAGGTCCAGCTACATTGTTGCAAATGGCAAGATTTCATTAATTTTTATGGCTGAGTAGTATTTATAATGTTCTTTTCTTTATCTGAATTCTTCAGATTTAACATTTATCCAGTTTCCTCAAAACATGAGTCATACTGAAGCTGTTAAATTTATAGCATATGAAACTAATATGTTATTTTCCCATCTCGAATTAGAATGTCTTGGGTAATAATAAAATATCTTTGTATAATGATACTAAAATAAAAGTACAGAAATTTTAGCAATGACATGGCAAGTTCCTCTCATTCACCCATAAATTTTAGGTGCCAGTGTCACATTTAAATTGCTGGAAGCTAGAAGAAATAGGCAGCTAAGGGATTAGAAAGTTAGAAAGCTGATCTTAAGGAAGTGTGATTTAAAAAAATTACTAGTCACATTCTGATATTCATTTGACTGTGGAATTAATGGTTATTGCCTGATTTCATTGCCATTTAAAAATATTGTTATCATCAACCTTTGTTTAGGGCTTGTTAATCTTTTTAACCTTCTCTTCCAGGTGATAAAACTTGAATAGAATTGCCACCAATTTCCCCTTGCAGTAATGGCAGTGAACAGAACTTTCACTCTGAAGATCAAATGAAGATGAGCTGAGAGCCTGCTCTAGTCTGAGGAAGCGCTGGTGTTCAGCTGGACCAACAGCAGCAGTGCTGGGCAAATCACCACCTAGGTGGCTGACCTTGGACTACAATGAGGGAGGGATGGAGAGAATGCTATGTTCTGCTGCTGGGGTCTGGACTGGCCTTCAAAACTATACTAAACTACTCATTCTGTGAACTGTATTTCCTCATGTCTGTATTCTGCAGAGGCTGCCCGTTGTGCCATTTTCTTCGGCAAAGGCTGCCCCTTTGCATGGCAAACCTTCTGGTCCCTCGGGGCTAAGTCCCCTAGACTCCTCGTAATCTGATGGCTCTCTAGGCTTACCTGCACTTCACCTCTTATCACAACTGGCCATTCACTTCTTTGCCTCTCCCAACAGTTGGAATGTTGGGTTGGCCTCTCCAGACCCATATTTATTTTCCTAATCTAGATTTTAGTGCCACAGAACAAAAATAACTCCCCAAACACTTCATTATTTTACCATGTCACCAAGTAAAATGAACAAGGGTGAATGGGGGAAGTGGGAGAGGAGTGATTTATTTTTAGTGCTCTTAAGTAGTTTAGAGAAAAACAAAATGTCAACTGGATAAACGAAGAAAGAATCCTGTAATGAGTCTATTCTCAAAGGCTATTTTTAAATCTCATAAATATAAAAAAAAATCTCATGAACATCTGCATGAACATAAACTTGAAGATCCAGTCAATATTCAAGTTAGTAAGTTGAAGTTCAATTGCTAGATATCAATGTTTATGAATTCAGAGACAGAAGTTTATATACATTGGATTAGGAATTCAAAACCAACCATATTCTTGCTTTGTTTAATCTGATTGTATCTGCAACATATCAGAGTGACTACCCTTGAAATAAGCACGGTCGATTTTGAGTTGCAATAAAATGAGGAAGAAAAAATTCACACATATTACACCTACCTGTGATCATGTTCTCAGTGATAAAATCCATCAACTCAAACACCTTAGAGAAAATGCCAAGTGATGCTTTTCTATTTCTTAAAGGGTCCCAACCTCTAGCACAACCAGGTCCCCAGGAAGTTATCCCAGCAAGAATCCAGGTGCCATTGCCTCTTTTACAAACAAGCGGACCTCCAGAGTCTCCCTTTGGTAATAGAGAGAGAAAAAATTTGAAAATATTCACAAGTTAAAAATATTTTATCAGAAAAAAAATTTATATATTTTATCAGGTCCACAAATATCAGCACTCATCTCAAAGAGAGAAGTAGAGGCCTGTAAGCCCAATGGTCAGTGTCCATCAATACTTTTTGTCCATCTTTTTGTTTTTTCACCATTAATTTCAAGGTCCTCTCTTTTCACCCAGATGTAACATCCTTCCACCTATTGCCTACAATCTTGTCAAGCTAGCATTTAATTCTCCCTCCTACTATTTTGGGGAACAAACATATACACATACATTCCAAAATCAATGAAAAGAAGAGGGGAAGTTTACAGATATATGCTTCTTCTATAGCTTGTCACCTGGAATTGCTGGGAAAAGCTAGGTGCTATCCCAAGGCTGTGACCCAAGTGAATAGAGCTCCCAAGTTCATGCAATGGCTCAAGACCTTGAAAACAGAACTCCTGGGAAGCCTAATTTTGTTCTAAGGACTATACTCATATGTAAAGGACCACTGACTCTCAGATTACAGGATAAGGAACACACAATTTCAGGATCCTATCCTTAATAATTCTTCAGAATAATATGCTTCCTTGACAATGTGTCAATTTTGTGTCAGATTAAGCCCTCCTCAAAACGAATAGACTTGTTTGAGGGCTTCCTCCAAAAAAGGACAAAGTACACTTAGTCTATCTGTGTTCCAATTTAGAAAGAGGCATGGTTGTAAATTTCTGTCTTTTCCCTCCCAAATTCCTCCTGGTCTTTGTTCTGTCATCCTCTAGAAGAAAAATTAAACATTTTTCCAACAGAGAATTTCATGGAGCTGCCCACAGCACTTTCAAGCTGCTTGCTGGCAAAAAATCAAGACTCCCTGCTCTTCCACTTAAAAAAAAAAAATGCTTTCCAAGTAAATCATCTTCATCCAAAACAAAATACACACCTTTTACAAATCAGTCACTCTTTTCTCTCTTTTTAGTTTATAAAAAACAAGACTTCTTTGTAAAGTTGTTGTGAAGGCCTTGGGAGATCATTGTCATTCACAACATCTTTTACCCAACAGTAATTACAGATATGCTATCTCTGGTCAGACTTTGGACAAACATTGCATTCTGCACTAAAGGCTTGAAAAAACAATCACAATGTTTAACAAAAGGTGGAATGAAAAATAATTCCCAGTTGAACCTAATTAGTTTGCCAAAGTAGTCATCCTGCTTGATTCTTTAGGTTGGAAATGTTGAAGCCACCTTCCCTACTCTCCCTCACCTCCCCGAAAAGAAGTGTAGGGGTAAGATTGGGCATGGGACATAGAACTCTTTCAGCCCAGGTCAAGTGAACCTTTTCATGTTTCAACGGAAAGATGAGGGAAAAGGGAATTTTGAAGCAGTTATCCTCCAAAACCAGCTCATGGGGAAAGGCAGAGTAACTGGGCTGGTTTTCTGCTTTTTACCTGGCAAGCATCCTTTTCCCCATCAGGAAAACTGGCACACAACATGGTCCTTCCCGGGGGAAGGAGATTCATACCCCTGAGCACAGTATTACATGTTCTGTCATCCATGACAGGGACTTCCATTTCTTGCAGGACATTTGAATAATCGGATGCTGTGGAGAAAGGACTGGTAAATTAGTCAATTGCCCTCACTGAAACAAGTGAATAAGAAACCTACAAGTTTCCACCTATTTCAAATAGATGTTTAACCAAAATGTAGAAATCTTTTTTTTTTTTTGTGGCATGAACTATATTCTTCCCTAAAATCAAATATGTAATAAAGAATATTTATAAAAAAAATTCTGCAGCTCTTTAAGGTAACATAGGCAATTGTGACTTCTCTGAATATATGCTTGAATGTTTTCCCAAGAGGAAAACTTTAGTCAATAAAGCAATATTATGTAAAATTCTTTATTTAAAAAAAACCCCACAATATTAAAGACAAGGAAGCTGAACAATTGTTACTATTTCCTGATTATCTCTTTACTTATTCTTCCTTATCTACTAAAGTTACCTCTGGTTTCTTTATCTGACTATTTAACCAAATGGCAGCAGAAAGAGTTTTATGTAGAGACATAAATATAGACTTATTTATGATGAAGACAACCAGAAATCTTCACTCGGTCAAAACTTAGGGAGAAAAAAAAGAGTTAAATGCATTACGATGGTCAACAACATTTTTGTGTCCACTGGGCACATGAGGGGGCCTGCAAGAAATTATTACTTTCTTTTGATTTCTCTTACTCTCTGAAATCTTGCCCCATCCACTGGCCATACAAACAATCCCATCTTCAAATTTATCATCTCTTTGGGGAAGACAGATTGGCTGAATATCAGTTCCTGAAAAAACAATAATAACAAAAAAATCAAACTTCACAGACAAGTGATGCTGAATATGTTTTCAAAGTGACATCTGGTTGATTTCATGGCTGCTACAACTTTCCTCCTAAATGTAATATTGATATATATTTTAATTTTTCCTCTCATAAAAAGCATTTTGTACACATATTTATAGAAATTTTGAAAAATGTAGGAATAGTAAAATAAGGAAAAACATAATCCATTGTTCTACATATCACAATGACACCCCACCCCCCTCCACCGCAAACTACTAACATTTTAGTGTGTGCTAACATTCATTAAAAGTTTATAGGATCACATTGAAACGGAGATTTATTTCAAGTTCATCTCTTCAGAGAGCATTTACTTTTGCTTCTGCCAGAGGCCCTGAATACTCACCTGCAACAACTTTAAAGTCTTCGCTTGGAGTTTTTGGTCACAGGTAATGTAAATTTCCACATCAAACCTGAATGAGGGCTTGCTCATGATTACAGATTCTGCTGAGAACCCTCCATCAAGGGCCAAAGTTCAAGCAGGTAATTTTCCTTATTCTCTCACTCCACGTGGCATATTTCCCTCTTTTCCCCTATCTTCCAAAGCATCATCTTTCAGGAAGTCCCAAGTTACACAGGAGGCTCCAATCAGACTTTCCCGTCTCCCATCCCTATCCCCAGGCAGCCTCCATACACAACCATTTAAAGCTCTAGGTTCTAAAAGATATATTAGATGCCTCAAGGGCAATTACTTACTTCAGCACCTGGCTAACTCCTCTACATTTACTCTTTTCATTGTTTTTGGCCACTGGGACACTTTTATTTCTCATATTTTAAAAAAAACACATTTTTAATATTTTATCCAGATTGTTTAGATTACCTGTGCTGACAGCGCATCACATTTCTAGTCCATAATAATGACAAAAAGAAGTCTCTGAGAAAATATTCAAATGTCCCAAACTCCTTGGCTGGAGCTGAGTATACATAGATGGTCTATATTATAACCCAGCCAAGACACTGGAACATTTAAAGTGCTGATTAAGTTAAGCAGACATAATTTGTGACTGGGACTTACAGCCTGTGCAGTGATTTTTATACATTAAATAAAGTTATTTTAAAAAGAAACAAAATTTAGCCATTCTAATGTTATTAGATATATACACAGAAATTAACTAATACAGAATTAATAAACAGAATACAAAAAAAATGTAATGAAGAAAACTATAACTCTCCTTACTTACCAAACTTGACTTTGTGTTTTAGATACAGCAGTGCAATATCAGAACTCATATATCCAAGCCTGCTGTATTCAGGATGGATAATAATTTTTGAGACAGAAATATTCTGTTCTTGCTTATCCTTCTGAAAGAGGTTGTACTCCCCAGCAGTCACAGTCAGACTCTTAATTTGCTCCCTAAAACCAAAGAAAAATGTTTCCGTAAGTAGTTGTTTCCCCCAGGAAAGACTGTCTTGGTTTCATGTAATTAAATGAAAGTGATTAATGTACTTGGAAGCATTTCTAAATCTTAAAAGGAAGACTTAATTGCTTCATTAGTGATTACTACCAATTGTCATAATTCCCTATACCTTATAAGGATCTGTAAAAAGTCATGGTTTTCAGTCACAGAGTGTTTACATTCTGTGAACTCCCCCACCACCATCACCATCAATTCTCTTTTGGGGTAAAGTATTTAAGTGTAGCATGCTTTTCTTCTTTAACATATAAACCAGACTATACATGCTCTATCTATCATTTTCTTTAACAAGGTATGAAAGTTGTTCCTAATCCTTCTTTTCTTCTTATTGGTACCTTCTTTTAATCTAGCCAAATATGTTATTTTCATAGAATTTTTCCCCCTTCTAATGACTCAGATTATTACAATTCCAGCATCCACTTAACATCTGATGTTAATATTTAATTAGAACAGGTAATTATCCCCTTCCCTGTCCTCTATCCCCACTAACTCCACACATGATAGATGGTGTCTGGGATCTGTGGGTTCTCTGATTAGGAAATGAGGAAGCATGGAAAATCTTGGAACAGACCCAAGTTTCTGGGGATCAGGAAGGTCGGTGGGTGGGGGGGGGTAGACCAGGTGGCAAAATTAAAAACGGAATTGAGATTTAATCTTGGAAGGTATTTAGAGCATCAAATCTCCCAGTTCTATAACCATGACTCAAAGTTTGACAAGTATTGGAAACCCACAACTTACTCATGGAGGCTAATCAGGCAGTGTGCTGCTGTGACCACCAGGTTGTCCTGAATCAAGCTTCCTCCACAGAAATGGCGCTCAACTAGTTTTAGGGAAACCTGCTCAAGGAGAAAGTCATGAGCACAAGTAACACACATCTCCCCAGGGATGTTGTCTCCGTCAGAAATATTTAAAATCAACTCTTCTAATATGATAGAACATTCTTAAGATGCTGATATAAATTAGTTAGTTAGATATTACCTATGAAAGTAAACTTTTTGGCATAGAGGTCGACTGGGGTCAAGAGAAAAAGTACATGTTAGCCTGCCGTTTTTATATTTGAAACAAAGGAAATAAGGTACCATTTTCTCATTAAGAAATCAATGCCTTTGTTATATACTGACCTGCCACGGATGTCTACCAACTGTTGAATTTCTCCAACTGCTATGTCTAGAGAAGAACTCTGATTCCAAGACAGTGTCCATGCTTTTCAAATCAGCTGCTCGAATTCCACACGTCAGTCCTATGTGGGAGAGCACGTGTGTCCACACACTCACACAGAGCCCCTTATTTACAGGTTCACGTTATCAAGATTTCACATTACGATTTTCCTGGCCTGACACAGATGTTCTGCTATCACTCAGCCAGACTATCCCCTTTTCTTTTCTCAAGATATTCCTGAGACTGCCCCACAGGCACCCCGAGATGATAAGAACTTGCCTCACGACTCCCCTGCCCCTTTTCAGCCTGAGCTGCCCTAACGAGAAAAAGACCTGGGGACATAGTGCGCCAGCGCCCCCTGTGGTGACAGGTTGGGAGACTTACTCTGGGAGGGGGAGCGGTAGGTCGTTTCGGTTCTATTAAAGATGTGGAGAACAACATACGCTACCCCGGAAGACAGATATTTGGCTAGAAGTAACTTCGACTTGGTTATTTTCCCTTGGAGGAGGCCGCTTAGTACAAGCAGGGTTAGCAGATGTGACTGAAAACTTAAACTCCAGAATTTGAGAATTTCAAAAAGAAACCCTGGCCCAGGCACTTCTCGGGGGGCACGTGGGCCTGCCCCGTCCCCCTCCCCCCTTTTTTCTTCTGACTTGAGGAGCGTGCAGTCTCCCTCCCAGCATTCAGCCTCCTGCAGCCTGGGCACCCAGGCCTGGGCTCACCTGGGCTGGTAGGGACGCCCAAGGCAAGCAGCAGCAGCAGCACACCTGCCCCGGCCATCGCCCACATGGTGCCCACGCGTGGGGCCTTTGTCTGTCTTCCTCTGTCGCAGGTTGAGAAAACCGAGCGACGCCGGTAGTCCGCACGCCCCAAGCCCTCGCTCTCCCGAAGCGTCCGACGGCCGCGCTCTTCATTGCCGCCGGCTGCGCGATGGGCCACACCTGCTGCGCGGGCCTGGCCTCGCAGCTTTTCCTCCTCGGGATCTTCCCGAGATGCTGCCGCCTTCTGGCAGCCCGGAGTTTCACAGGACCCCCACCATCCGCCCTACAGACAGGTGTGAGGTGTCCCCGTGGCTGGTGGGACACTCACACGCGTGCAGATGCGGGAGCAAGGTGATCAGTGACCTAGTGGGACCTAATGGGACAGGTGAATTCTGTCCCACACCAGAGAGTGTGTCCCAAGCCTGGGGTCAAGAAAGCTGGTCACCCATTCAAGACCACACAGGGAGGCCGACTCCTGAGAGGACGTAGACTCACAAAAGCAGTGCACCTCCAGACTTGAGCTCAGTCCAGGAAATCTCCAGATACGGTAGCTGCTGGACCAATGGCCCTCACCGCTCTTATCCTTGAGTTTTGCTTTCACTGTAGTAATTTCACAAAGATAAGCATAGCCATCCCTGGCCCAGGGGCACAGGACCCTTCAATAAAAGATCAGACTCTCCAAATAGACTCAAACTCCTCTCTTTTCTTCTTAGCAAAAGGGCGTCAGCTTAAAACAACTACAAAGCCTTTAAAAAATAAAGTGGGAGAAGGAAAGAAAAAATAAACTTGTGCTGTGCAAGTACAGTAGGCCCCCCAATGTTGAAGGTCATGGCTAACCTCCTCATGAGGCTCACAGAGCTGCCCCCTTGCACTCTTCCACATGTGGTGCCCACAGCTTTGTAGGATGTTCTATGGCCTGTTTTATACCCGAAATCTACATGGTTAGGCACTGAATTGTTTCCTGTTACAGCACAGCTCCCTGTTTCCCGAGTTCAAAACTCACAGCCTCCAGTGAGACCTCGTCCTTCTGTATATAGGACCCGTCTCTGGCAGGCCTAACAAAACAATGCCTTTCCATTAAATAGGAAAAGAGCCATTCAATATAAAAAAAAATTGCATAATAACCAATAGCCAGGTTGTTAGATTTAGATTTAAATCTGTTAGTAAGATGATGGTTTAAGTTTATGGAGATGATGTATTCAAACAGAAGTATTCTTTTATTTTAAAAACCAAGTAACTTTACAAGAGGAAGGATGTCAGGAAAGGGCTGAGTACCCTAGATTAGACGTGTGATGTATGGAGAATCTGCCTTTAACGCATCTTCATTAGGGCAGGATCCTACTGATCTGGTCTTAGAGGCCTTCCAAGACTCTTACTAGAAGCCCCAGCTCTACGATAGTTGTAAAATTAGAAGTGGTAGGTGACTAACCCACAAGCAATGAGCAAATGATGGGCAAATAATGTTTTGTTTGAAAAATAAATTTTTCCACCCCAGTTAAATCACTGATCTAAACTATAGAACTTTCCCCAAATTCCCAGAGGCCTAAGATTCAGCACAAAGGGGATTACCGGTGCCCTTAGAAACAGCGGTTTCATTTTGAGTATTTGTTGCAGGGACAGATATTGTGATGAAGACGGAATATGAAGGATGGAGGTGACAAGAATGGTGAAGACAATTCATTCAAATAGTTTGGTTGTGAGGGACAGAAATAGATGTGGTAGCAGCTAGAGATGAAAAAAATATAAAGAGTTTTGTTTTTTTTTCAAATGATTTTGATGGTGGTTTGTTTTATTTTTTTATATTTTAAAGATTTTTATTGGGGAATTGGAACAGCGCTGGGGAATTGGGGGAAGGGGAACAGACAAGTTGCTGTCGTTTTGTTCTTCAGTCTAGTT